TAGCGAAAGAAATAGCATGTGTAAAGGATGAGAGATAAGAGAAAGGGTAGATTGCTCCAAATGAAAGAAATGTAAGTTTTGAATGTAGCTCACTGTGGGGTGTGGATGTGGGGAGTGGCTAGTGTCAAGAGATAAGACTAAAGAGGAAGGCTGGGTTATTTTATTGAGGCTTTTTTAAACTATTGAAGGAGTTTAAATGTGAGGAAATGATGTGATTCTGTGTTTTAGCAAATGAACCTAATTAAAATGTGGAGAACAGATCACAGGGAAAGCTACATTGGATTCAGGATGGCTAGTTAGCATGGGGAGAATGCTGGCCTAATTTCAGAGTGGTAGAAGTGGGGATAGAAAGATGTGGTTGGATTTGAGAGAGATTTAGACAACAAAAGAGACCACTTTGGTGATTAATTGTAATGGAAGTGGGAGTAGGAGAATAAGGAGGGAGTTAAGGATGACTCATGTTTCTAGCTGGGCAGTAGTGCTGTATTCACAGATAGGAACTGTGAAGAACATTTGAAGAGAACAAGAGCTACATTTTAGATATATTAAGCTTTAAGTACCCCAGGACTTCTGAGTAGAAATGTCAGGTGGCAGTTAGATATGAGACCTATAACTTGAGATGTGAGAGTCATCAATATTATATCTTAATGTCTCTCAATTTTTTCTTTTTTTTTTTTTTTTTTTTTTTTGAGTCAAGAGTCTTGCCGTATCCCCCAGGCTGGAGTGCAGTGGTGCAATCTCTGCTCACCGCAACCTCTGCCTCCCGGGTTCAAACGATTCTCATGCCTCAGCCTCCTGAGTAGCTGGGATTACAGGCACCTTCTAATTTTTATATTTTTAGTAGAGATGGGGTTTCGCCATGTTGACCAGGCTGGTCTCAAACTGCTGACCTCAGGTGATCCACCTGCTTCGGCCTCCCAAAATGCTGGGATTACAGGCATGAGTCACTGCGCCTAGCTCATTTTTTATTCCAGTATCTTTATGCAAGATATTACAAAGCATGTTAATACATTAAATGTTATATTGACCTAAAGATTGCTCCATGTAGACTTATCAGCTGCTGTTTTTATTAGAGATTCTGGCCTCTGCTTATTGTTAAACAACGTTTAATACCATTAGTGAATAATTATACTACGGATGGCAAAAGTGTTACCAAAAATATTGAATGGTGAGGGGTATATCAAATGTATTAAATCTTTTTTTTTTTTTTTTTTGAGACGGAGTTTCACTCTCGTTACCCAGGCTGGAGTGCAATGGCGCGATCTCGGCTCACCGCAACCTCCGCCTCCTGGGTTCAGGCAATTCTCCTGCCTCAGCCTCCTGAGTAGCTGGGATTACAGGCACGCACCACCATGCCCAGCTAATTTTTTGTATTTTTAGTAGAGACGGGGTTTCACCATGTTGACCAGGATGGTCTTGATCTCTTGACCTCGTGAGCCACCACGCCCGGCCAATGTGTTAAATCTTATATTTATATTAGTAGTGTCTAAGTAGCTGAATATGAATCCTATATTTGATAATGCAAATATTTTCCACCCTGAATAGCAATGGTTAGGTTAATGTGATACTGCAGTCGTTGGCTTAATCATAATTCAACAGACTATTAGGATAAAAGGTATACAGAACAACATAATCTTGCCTACCTTGTTAACCATTCTATTCTCACTGTCGAGAGCAGTTCTTGGCACAGAGGTCCTCAATAAATATTTTTTGAGTAATCAATCAATATTGACATCCAATGCTTTAATATCAGATTTTCTTTTTGCATTGCTCCAGGTTACAGCAATGGTAGACTGCGTTTTTAAGTTTAGTTCTTAAAAACAGTCTTATCCCCAACTTAAGGAATTAATATTTTTATTTGAGCAGTATTTTTCCCCTTAGATTACTCTGTAGCTGTTCATGTTTATGCTCCCTTCCTTGTATATACTTCCCTTCCAATAAACAGACATATTTCTCTTTCTAATCAGAACATTTTTACTGACATTTATGAAACATGTCTTCTGGTAAAAATAGTTTGGACATTTTCACTTGTGTATTCTGACATCACCATGTCTAATGGTGATTCATCACCTTTGCTTTCAAAACCTATTCTTGCTAACATGAGTACCATTTTTTCATCATTGAGCTCAAAATCTCTCTGAATATTTACATTGCTTACCTTCTGTTATAAAGATTTGGTCAGTTACTAAGTCTTTTTGCTTTTACTTTGGTAATATAGCATGTATTTATCTTTTTCTTTGCATTCTCGTTGTTATTTTTGTTTGCATGTCTGTTACATTCATCTTGAATGATCTGTCTGTGTTCATTTCATTTGGATAGGACCATTTGATTCAACTCTTTAGGAAGTTACAACCTTAATTATATTACTTGTTCAAAAACATTAATTATTCCTTGAGGATAAATTTTAATTCTTAGGTATTATACCTAGGAGATTCCAGATTTATGTTCTAATAAACAGTTTCATCTCCTATTTTTTAGTAAGCATTTTGCTGCAGCCTAATCGATTTTCATTGTTATTTGAAAAAATCCTCACGGTTTCATCCTTACCCATATCTTCTTCGCCAGTCTTATCCTCAGTTTATTTCTATCCTTGAAATCTAACTCATCCGAGAAAGCTTGGCTCAAATCCTGTCTCTACCTTGCGGGGGGTGATATAGTCCCAGGTATATGGGATGTCATTCTGGTATATTTCCTCACCCACCCCTAGATTCATGGTGGAGATCTCTCTAACAAAGACAGATTAACAAAAGAAGTGTATACAAATTTACTTAATAAAAGTTTTGCATGGCATGGGAGATTTCAGATATTGAAGACTTGGTGAAACAATAGAAAGCTGTATTACTATGGACAGTTATGCAGGAGTATGATTAGAAGCCAAAAGGGTGTGATATAATATTGATAAACTGGGGTGAACTTAGCAAAGCCTGTTTGCTCAGATTCTTCTTGGCATCTCTTATGTGACACCTCTTCCCTTTATGTGAGGCAAGACACCTATCCCAGGAAGGTTTTAGGAGAAAAGAGAGAGAAAATCAAAGAATGACTTTCCTAGATTTTATGGCCTGCTTCAGGGGAGAAAAGGAGAAAGTCAGAGACACCTACCTGCTTCTGCTGTTTTCTCAAATGCCAAGGTGCCATATTTTGGGGGTAGCATTTCCTGCAGCTCATTACTAGGAAGTCACTTTCCTTTGATATTTATGATTGTAAACTGAACCACCTATTAGTTGAATGACATAAAATTATGACAAGATACTGAGGTACTAAATATTGACATCTTCTGCAGCACCCTCTGTAGTTGACTGGCTCTTTATTTTTTTAACTGATTAAAAACAAAAACCATGGTTACCTTATATTTATTTTTTAACAAAAGTTTATATGAGCTTTTTCTATGCTTAACACAGACATTTTTTGTCTGATTAAAAATCAAAACCATGATAAATACAGACTTATTTAACATGTATATAGTGCTATTATATGCCAGGCACGGTTATAAGTACTTTTTAAAACATTAACTGGATTCTCATTTTACAGATAACAAAACTAAAATATGAATTTAACAGTAGAAGAGCTAGGATTTGAAGAGGGTAGTCTAGCTTGAGCCTCTATGCTTTTAAAGCCTATGTTACACTGCTGTCATCAGAGTGATAAAATAATTTAGTAAATATTAAAATAATTCAGTGAAATAAGAAATATTATACAGGAAAATATATATGTATACTCTTATTTATACTTTCACCCATTTTTTCTTCCCCTTCAGGTTATTCTGGAGCAAATCCAGACATGGTTGTTATTTATTCATCTTCACCTCATCCCCATTGGTAATTCTTTTCCAGCTGTTTTTTATTATAAAATATACGTAACATGAAATTAGCCATTTTAACCATTTACAAATACAGTTCAGTGTTACTGTGTACATTTATAATGTGCACTCATCACCACCATCCATCTTTATAACTTTTTATCTTGAGAAACTGAAATTATACCTATTAAAAGTTCCCCAATTTCTCCCACTCCTGAGGCCCTGGAAATTACCATTTTTCTGTCTCTTTGAATTTGATTACTCTAAGTGTCTCATATAAGCAGAATCATATAGTGTTTGTCTTTTTGTGACTGGCTTATTTCACAAATCAAGGTTCATCCATGTTATACTATTTTGCAGAATTTCCTCCCATTTTAAATCTGCGTAATATTCCATTTTATGTATGTGACACATGTTTAGATGTCCATTGATGGACACCTTTGTTGCTTCTTCCATTCACCTATTGTGAATAATGCTGCAGTGAACATGGGTGTACAAATATCTCTTCAAGACCTTGCTTTCAATTTTCAGGCTTATATACTTAGAAGTGGAATTGCTGGATCATATGGTAATTCTATTTTTAGTTTTTTGAGAAGCCACCATAGTTTTCTGTAGTGGCTGCACCTTTTGACATTCCCACCAACAGTGCACAAATGTTCCTATTTCTCTACAACCTTGCCAACACTTGATATTTTGTTTTTGTTTTTTGATAGTGGCTATGAAGTGATGTGTCATTATGGTTTTGATTTGCATTTGTCTAATAATTAGTGATGTTGAGCTTATCATATGCTTGTTGGCCATATGTATGTCCTTGGAGAAATGTCTATACAAGTCTTTTGCCCATTTTTTAATCATGTTTTTTTTTCTGTTGTAGGAGTTCTGTATATGTTCTAGATATTAATCTCTTAATAGATGTATTATTTGCAGACTCCCATTCCATTGGTTGTCTTTACTATGTATATCTTTTGTTCCACAAAAATTTTTGCATTTCACAAAGTTCAATTAGTCTTTTTTGTTTGTTTGTTTTCTTAGAGTCTCATTCTATTGCCCATGTCGGAGGGCAGTGGTGTAATCTTGACTCACTGCAACCTCTGCCTCTGGATTCAAGCAATTGTCATGCCTCAGCTTCTCAAGTAGCTGGGACTATAGGTGCAGGCCACCACTCTTGGCTAATTTTTGTTTATTTACTAGAGATGGGGTTTCACCATGTTGGCCAGGCTGGTCTTGAACACCTGACCTCAAGTGATCCACTTGCCTTGGCCTCCCAAAATACTGGGATTACAGGTGTGAACCACCACACCTGGTTCTATTTTTTCTTTTGTTACTTATGCTTTTGGAGCCATCGCTAAGAAATTACTGCCAAATCCAGAGTAACAAAGTTTTTGGCATATGTTTTCTCCTAGGAGTTTTATAGTTTTATGTCTTATGTTTTGGTCTTTATCCATTTTGAGTTAATTCATATGTATTGTATTAGATAAGGGTGTAGCTTTTTCCTTTTGCATGCGGATATCCAGTTTTCCAAGTACCATGTATTGGAAAGACCCATTTCTCTGTTTTGTAGTCTTGGCACACTTGTCAAAAACCATTTGACCATAAATACACAGGTTTATTTCTTGGCTATTTTGTTCCATTGGTTTATATGTCTCTCTCTCTATGCCAGTACCACCATTGTCTTGATTACTGTTGATTTTTAATACGTTTTGAAATTAGGAAGTGTAAGGCCTCCAACTTCGTTGTTCTTTTTAAAGTTTGTTTTGGCTCTTTGGGGTCCATTGAGATTGCATGTGAATTTAAGGATAGGTTTTCCTATATCTGCAAAAAAACTACCAGTGAGATTTTAACAGGGGTTGCATTGAATCTATAGATTGCTGTGGGTAGTATTGACATCTTAATAGTATTGTCTTCCAATCCATGAACATGGAATGTTTTCATTTATTCATGTATTCTGTAATTGCTTTCAGTAATGCTTTGTAGTTTTCATCATATCAGTCTTGACTTGGTTAATTTCTAAGTATTTTATTCTTTTTGGTTTATTATAAATGGAATTTTCTTAATTTCCTTTTGGATCAGTCATTTTTAGCGTATAGAAATGCAGCTGATTTTTGTGTGTTAACTGTGTCCTGCTACTTTGCCAAATTCATTTGTTAGCAGTAAATTTTTTATGGACTCTTTAGGGTTTTCTCCATATGAGATCATATCATCTGTGAACAGAGATAATTTTAACTCCTTTCCAGTTTGGATTTCTTTGATTTCTTTTTCTTGCCTCATTTTTGTGGTTAGAACTTCAGTACTATGTCTAATAGAAGTCACAAAACTGGTGATACTTGTGTTATTCCTGACCTTAGGGGAAAAGCTTTCAGCCTTTCATCATTATTATGTTTGCTGTGGGGCTTTTGAGCAAGATCATGCTCTTTGCAGGGACATGGATGAAGCTGGAACCCATTATCCTCAGCAAACTTAACACAGGAACAGAAAACCAAACACCACATGTTCTCACTTATAAGTGAGAGCTGAACAATGAGAACATATGGACATGCGGAGGAGAACAACACACTGAGGCTTGTTCGGGGAGGGCGAGGTGGAGGAGAGCATTAGGGAGAAGAGCTAATGCATGCTGGGCTTAATACCTGGATAGGTGCAGCAAACCACCATGGCACATATTACCTATGTAGCAAACCTGCACATCGATGTGCACATGTACCCCAGAATTTTAAAAAGTAATTAAAAAAACATATATATATGGCTTTTATGATGCTGAGGTAGTTTTCCTCTATTCCTAATAGGTGTGAAGTGATATCTCATTGTGGTTTTGATTTGCATTTCTCTAATAATTAGTGATGTTGAAAATCTTTTCATATACTTTTTGGCCATCAGTGTATCATTTTTGCAGAAATGTCTATTCAAGTCCTTTGCCCATGTTAAAAATCTTGTTCGGTTTTTGTTGTTTAGTTGTAGGGTTTCTTTATGTGTTCTGGATTTTTAACCTCTTACCGGAATAGATGATTTGCAAATATTTTCTCCTGTTATGAAGGTTGCCTTTTTATTTTCTTATTTTCTTTGAGACATAGTTTTTAAGTTTGATATAGTGTGATTTATCTGTTTACTTTTTTTGCCTCTGCCTTTATTGTCAGATTCAATAAATCTTGCCAAATCTAATGTCATGATGTTTTTCTTCTGTGTTACTTGTTTTTGAGACAGAGTGAGACCCTGTCGCTCAAGCCAGAGCACAGTGGTGCAATCACAGCTCACTGCAGCCCCTCCTGGGCTCATGCCTACTTCAGCCTCCCTAGTAACTGGGACTACAGGTGTGTGCCACTACACCCAGCTAATTTTTGTATTTTTTGTGGAGATGGGGTTTTGTTATGTTGCCCAGGCTGGTCTCAAACTCCTGGGCTCAAGCAATTCCACCCTCTTTGGCCTCCCAAAGTGTTGGAATTACAGATACAAGCTACTGCACCTAGCACATTTTGAGTTTTTGTATATGGTGCAAGTTAAGAGTCCAGCTTTATTCTTTTACATGTATTTATCCAGCTTTCTTCAGTTTGCTGAAAAAACTGTCTATTCCCCATGAATGGTCTTGACAAGGATGTTGAAAATGATTTGACCACATAGGCAGGTATATTTCCAGGCACTCTATTCTATTCTGTTGGTCTTTATGTCTGTTTTCATGTTGGTATCACATTGTTTTGATTGCTGTAGCTTTGAAGTTTTGAAATGAGGAAGTGTGACACTTGCAACTTTGTTCTTTTTCAAGATTGTTTTGGCTATTTGGGGTTCCTTAAGATTCCATATGAATTTTAGGTTATGTTTTTCCATTTCTGAAAAAGAATTGAGATTCTGATAGGATTGCATTCAATCCATGTATTCCTTTGTATAGTATTAACATCTTGATGGTAAATCTTAACAGTCTGTGAACAGGGGATTTGCTTCTATTTAGTTCTGGCTTTTACTTCTTTCAGCATCATTTTGTAGTTTTTCAGTATACCAGCCTTTTGGTTAAGTGTATTCCTTGGTTAAGTGTATTCCTAAGTATTTGATTTTTTTTTTTTTTGGTGATATTTTAATTGTTTTCTTAATTTCCTTTTCAGTTTGGTCATTGTTAGTGTATAAAAACATAGCTGATTTTTGTCTTTTCATTGTGTATGTTATAACTTTGCTGAATTATTTTATTCTAATAATTTTTTGGGTATGAAGTCTTTAGGGTTTCCTACATACAAGATCCTGTCTTCTATGAACAGATAATTTTACTTCTTCCTTTCTAAATTGGATGCCTGCCTCCCTCCTTCCCTTCTATCTTCTCTCCCTCCCTCCCACCTTCCTTACCCGCTTCCCTCCCTACTTCCCTCCCACCTCTTCTCCTCACCCCTTTCCTAAGTACTCTGGCTAGGAATTCTAGTACAATGTTATGTAGAAGTGGGCTTTTCTTGGCTGGGCATGGTGACTCATGCCTGTAATCCCAGCACTTTATAGGCTGAGGTGGGTGGATCATGAGATCAGGAGTTCAAGACCAGCGTGGCCAACATGGTGAAACCCCATCTCTACTAAAAATACAAAAATTAGCTGGGTGTGGTGGCATGCACCTGTAATTCTAGCTACTCAGGAGACTGAGGCAGGAGAATCAGTTGAACCTGGGAGGCAGAGGTTGCAGTGAGCTGAGATCGCGCCGTTGCACTCCAGCCTAAGTGACAGCAAGACTCTATTCACCACCAAAGAAATGGGCTTTTCGGATATTACTTTTATTATATTGAAGTTGTTTCCTTCGATTCCTAGTTTGTTGAATGTGTTTATTAACAAAAAAATATTGAATTTTGTCTTTTCTTTTTGCATCAATTGAGATGGTCATGGGTTTTGTCCATTCTTTTGTTAATGTGCTGTGCATTGATTTTTTTTTTTATGTTGAGGTATCCTTGCATTCCAGAAATAAATCTCACTTGGTTACAGCGTATAATCCTTGTCATGTGCTGTTGAATTTTTGCTAGTATTTTGTTTGAGGTTCTTACTCTCTCTACTACCTGGATAAATGAAGGTATGCAGATAATTTTCAAGTGAAGCCATACTACAGTGTATACTTACAGTTCAATGTAATATAAGCGATAGTATATAATTTTTTAATAGATAATCACTTATACACTCCAGTATTTGGTTGTATATGCTTCACACATGATAATCATATAATATCTGAACTCTAGACCATTGTTTTCAATTATGGCTGCACATTACCATGCCTAAGGAGGTATTACACACAGACACACACACACACACACACCATTGCCAGAGTCACTTATGGCTGCAACTTATGGCTGCATGTTACAATGCCAAAGGAGATACTGCATACGCATACACACACACACACACACACACACACACACACACACACACACACACACTCCCCGTTGCCAGTGTCACTTAGATTGGAATTTTTCAGAAGGGGACTGAACATTAGTAGTTTTTAAAAACTCTTCAAGTACAGAAATACTTAAAAATTCTCTAGATTATTTTGGCTACACATCCAAGTTGCATGGAGTACTTTAAAAAGTCTGTAGGCCTTAGTGAAGTGGAATCAAATTCCAGGGGAGGAGTTGTACAGTCTCTCTTTTTTTTTTAACTTTTTTTGAGATGTGGTTTCACTCTTGTTGCCCAGGCTGGAGTGCAGTAGTGTGTTCTTAGTTCACCACAACCTCCACCTTCCAGTTCAAGCCATTCTCCTGCCTTAGCCTCCCAAGTAACTGGGATTACAGGCATGCGCCACCATGCCTCGCTAATTTGGTGATTTTAGTAGAGATGGGGTTTCTTCATGTTGGTCAGGCTGGTCTCCAACTCCCGACCTCAGGTGATCCGCCCACCTTGGTATCCCAAAGTGCTGAGATTACAGGCGTGAGCCACCATGGCTGGCCTAGTCTGTTATTTTTTTTTTTTTTTTTAAGTTTCCTGAGTTTATCTGAAGCACAGCTAGGTTCTTAATACTAGTTCTAGAATTTTCTCAGCCACAAGAAAGGATACGTACCAAATTATTTTGATTAAGGTCATTTGCAAGGGCCCTGAATACAAGTTTTCTATTGTATGGGCTGAAAGGAGATCCACATGTTTTATATGTCAATTATATAGGAGCTAAGTTGTTTACTTAAGGAAATTAACATAGGTACTTTTCCAGTTACTAATCTCATTCTCTGTAGGGTTGCAATAATATGAATAGGTAGAACCAAGTATTTTCTTAGGCAAAGTTGTTCATATGTTTAAACTGGTATTCTCACATCTCAGCATTTAGCATAAAGCATGATGGAGGTGACCTTAGTTTTGTGTTTTCAGAAGATAGAAATATTCATGTATATCACAGTAGAACTTAAATGCAGTGTGATTTAAAACGTCTTATTTGTTTTGCCAGATTGAGTATATTAGTCTGCTAGGGCTGCCCTAAGAAACTACAGTAGATTTACTTAATCCGTGGGAGATACATTCCAGTACCTCCAGTAGATGCTAAAACCTCAGTAGAGAACTCTATATGCACTGTTTTTTTTTCTACATATCCATATCTGAGATAAAGTTTAATTTATAAATTAGACACAATGAGAGATTTAAAACAATAATAATAGAACAATTAAGTAAAGTAAGGTTTACTTAGCACAAGCACTACGATACTAGACAATTGATCTGACAACTAAGACGGCTAATAGACAGGGAGCATCTACAGCATGGATACACAGGACGAAGGGATGGTTCATTCATAATCAGGGTGGGATAGTGGAGGACAGTGTGAGATTGCCCATCACACTACACAGAAATGTGTGTAATTTGAAAGGTTTTAATTGTTTATTTTTGGAATTTTCTATTTAATATTTTCAGAGCATAGTTGACTGGGTAATTGAAACCTCAGAAAGTGAAACTGCAGATAAGGGGTGACTATTGTACCACAGACTGGGTAGCCTA